GTACTTATAAGATGCTTGGAATGCCTGGCACATTCTAAGAATTCATTAAATGTTAACCCTTATTTTTTATTTGCTCATAAAAAGCTTCCAAAGATAGTATCATTCATTTTTCTAAGTCCTTGTTAGTCTGTGTTATAATTTCCTGAGCATTTATAGGAGTTGGAATTAGGCCTTTTCTCTGATTTCTCCCGTGGTACCCTGTGTATGGACTTGATTTTTTTCTAGGGTTTAATTTCTCCTCCTGCAAATGTGTGTATTGAAACCACCTTAATCCAAAAAGGTTTTGCTTCGGTGTATATGTTGCACTGTGTTGTAGAAACACAGTAAACTCATGTTTTGTGTAGATAATTAAAAGAATGAAATGTTCCAGGCAATGAAATATTTTTGTTAGAAGATAGTAAACATTTAAAAAGAATTAGAATGCAGTAAAATACACTTAACCTAATTACACAAGGGAAAATAGCATTATAGAAACAGCAGTCTGGTATTGACCTGGGACTTAATCTTAGCTCTGCCACTTACTGGGTGATGTGCAAGTTGCTTTCTTAACTCTCTGGGTCTCATTGTCTATTGTCATGATCATCACAGTTGTTGTCAATAGCACTGGGGAAGGGTCCGGACACTAACTTTTTGTTCTGATTCTAGCCAACTGGTTATATTGCTTTCCAGTGGTTCTCAATCTTCTGGCACTTTAACTACAGTTCCTCATGTTGTGGTGACCCCCAACCATAAAATTATTTTTGTTGCTACTTCATAACTGTAATGTTGTTACTGTTATGAATCATAATGTAAATATCTGAAATGCAGGATGGTCTTAGGCGACCCCAGTGAAAGGGTTGTTCGACAGCCAAAGGGGTCACGACCCACAGGTTGAGAACCACTGCTTTAGGCAAACCACTTCCCTCTCTGTTTCATGGTTTTCTCATAACATAAGCAGTGATGGCAAACCTATGACACGCGTGTCAGAGGTGACATGCGAACTCATTCTTTTAGTTGATTTTTCTTTGTTAAATGGCATTTAAATATATAAAATAAATATCAAAAATATAAATCTTTGTTTTACTATGGTTGCAACTATCAAAAAATTTCTATATGTGACACGGCTCCAGAGTTAAGTTAGGGTTTTTTTAAATGCTGACACGCCGAGCTCAAAAGGTTCGCCATCACTGACATAAGGTGATTATAATAGACCTTCCTAACCCTATGCATGCTGGCGCTGGAGGTGCCTCAGATGGGTTACAGATGTGTCCATAGGTTGATGCCCTCAGCCCCTGAGGCAGCTATGCAAAATCTGGGGTAGCAGGACTAACTCCCTGTGCTGGACTCCTCAGGGCTGAGCAGCCTTGTTCATTTTTCCCCCCAAACAAAACAAAACAAAACAAACCTTAGCTTTTAGTTTTATTGATCTATTTTGTTGACTTTTTAGCCTCCATGTCTTTCATTTCTACTCTGATCTTTGTTATTTCCTTCCTACTACTAACTTTGGGCTTAGTTTATTCTTTTCTAGTTTTTTAAAGAAAGGTTGCTTTTTTAAGATCCTCATTTTTTCATAATGTATGCGTATATTGCTAGAAACTGTCCTCTTAGGACTGCTTTTGCTGCATCCCATAGTTTTTATATTTGTGTTTTCATTTTCATTTGTCTCATCATCCATATATATACAGAATTTCTCCTTTGATCCATTGTTTGTTCAGGAGCATATTGTTTAATCTCTATGTGTTTGTAAACTTTCCAGTTTTCTTATTGTAATTTATTTCTAATTTCATAGCATATGGTCATAAAAGATGCATGATGAGATTTCAATCTTCTTAAATTTATCAAGATTTGTTTTATGGCCGAACATATGATCTATCCTGGCGAATGTTCCATGTGCACTTGAGAAGAATGCATATTTTGCTGCTGTTGGGTGGAATGCTCTGTAGGTGTCTGTTAAGTCCATCTAGTCCAATGTTTCTTTGTTAATTTTCTGTCTTAATGATCTGTCCATTATTGAAGATGGGGTATTGCTGTCCCCTTCTATTGTTATATTGCTGCCTATTTCTCCCTTTAGGTCTGTTAATATTTGCTATATATATTTAGTTGCTCCTATGTTGAGTGCATACATATTTATAAAAATTATATTTCCTCAATGAATTGATATATTTGTCATTATAAAATCACCTTCTTTGTCTCTTGTTACAATCGTTGGTTTTAAATCTATTTTGTCTGGTGTAAGTATAGTTTCCCCAGCGTGCGCGTGCGCGTGCGTGTGTGTCCATTTGCATGGACTATCTTTTTCCATTCTTTCACTTTCAGTATATATATCCTTAAAGCTGAAGTGAGTTTCCTGTAGGCAGTTTGTAATTGGGTTTTGTTTTTGTTTCATTAAAACATTAAGCTACTCTATGTCTTTTTATTGGCCATCCAGCCATTTAGAAATGAGATCAAGCAACTGCTCTTCACATGGTAGTGGGATTTGGGGTAAAAAACACTTTTGACAAGTACCCTGTACTTTATTATTACAATTTAGCATTTTATGCACAAAAGACATAAATAATAATATATTATTATGGACTTGGCTGCTTACGTAGAGCCACACAGCAGGACTTTTAAAAGACTTTGTTGGAACTGTGAATTATTAGTCATCCCTTTTCTTTTGTTTCCCTGGTAATGTTTGGCCTGTGCCCCTCCTCTCTGCCTTTGTCTCTAGATTTGGGGACTCTATAGCCTCAAATGGGGCATGGTTTTTTATTTGTTTATTTTGAATTATTTTATTCTTTTGCACCCCTATTATTTGTACTTCATGGGTATGGGGGAAGGTTAGACCAAGGCTTAGCACTGTCATGAGAAGAGTTGGGATGGATGATAAGATTGAGAAGATGGCCGAAACCGGTTTGGCTCAGTGGATAGAGCGTCGGCCTGCGGACTGAAAGGTCCCGGGTTCGATTCCGGTCGGGGGCATGTACCTGGGTTGCGGGCACATCCCCAGTAGGAGATGTGCAGGAGGCAGCTGATCGATGTTTCTCTCTCATCGATGTTTCTGGCTCTCTATCTCTCTCCCTTCCTCTCTGTAAAAGTTCAACAAAATATATTTTTTAAAAAAAAAGATCTCTCAGATGCTACATTTTGTTGTTCCCTAAGGCAGTGGAGCTGGTCATACTCGTGTAATTTCAGAGGTACGGAAAACTCCTTTCTTACTAATGGATATGATCCTTTACATTTCATCCCAGGACAAAGATCCCCCTTGGAAATCTTGGTCCCCTTTCAAATACGAACAATTCAATGTGGGGCAAAGCGTGAAGATTAAAATTCTAGATGGCACTGGAAAGGAACTTTACCATCTTCTAGAATAGGGCTTTTCATAATGTGGGTCCCCTGAATTCCTTTCAGGATGTCCATGTTGACATTTACACCAAAGATCCAAAAACAATCTGGCATCTAGTTTGAATAAAGGCAGTTCTATCAAATGACACCAGTTGTTGTGTGTTCTTAATCATTATATACTTGCATCTATCCATACACACGTGCACATGTATGCTAGTTTTATGTAAGAATGTCCTTGAAGCAGTAAAACTTATTAATTTCACTGGATTTTGACCATGAGTATATGTCTTTTTAATCTTCTATATGATAAAATAGGAGGTGCACATAAAGCAGGTCTGAGGATACTAAGGAATGATGGTTGATGGTTGTCTCAGGAAAAAGTACTTTTGTGATTCAGTTGTCAGCTGAACTTGCCACTTTTTTCATGGAACTAATTTTTTCTTGACAACCAACAGACAAAATATGGTTATTCAGACTTCAGTGTTTGGCAGACATTTTCTTAAAAAGAAAAAATGCAGGAAGCCTGCTTCTTTAAGAAAAACAACTGACAGTATTTATTACCAATGATAAAATTTAAGCTTTCAAACAAAAAAATAGAATTTTGGAGAACTCCTATTTGTCACCATGAGCTTGACAGCTTTCCAATATTTGAAGACTTTTCTGATGAGATTGGTGGTAATATTAATGAATATAATGTTTTGATATTATATAATGAAAAGTGTCAAAATGTGGAAGATCTGAATAACTCAGTGTTCCCATATTTTCCGGATGACTAATGCATGATGTTACAAAATAAGAAGGATAGAAAGATCTACTCAAAGAACAATGTGTAACACTGGATTTTAATGTAACAGAGGAGGAGTTCATTGATATGGGTTCAGATTGCACACTGGAGCTAACCGTTAAGAAACCATGTTTGTTGAGTTTAGTATGGCCCCATAGAAGAATATCCACAACTATCATAACAGATGAGTGCAGAAGCAAATTTGACTATGCAGTCCTCACCTGCTCAGCTAGATAGTGAAGAGATCTGAAAAATGCAGTGATGCCTCTTTTCTTACTGAATTAGTTTTGTTTCAGAACATACAGTTATTGTCATAAAAATGTGTTATTTATGTGATATGTAATATAAAATAAATAATTATTTTTCTCAGTTTTTATTTCGAAAATGGCAATTATCAATAGATGTAAGCCACATAAATACGGAGGATTCAATCAATTTGAAGAGTGTGAAGGGGTCCTGAGACCAAAACGTTTGAGAACTGTTGTTCTACACCAACCTCTGACTTTACAAAGAGGTAACTTGAGGCCATAACAGGTGATGTTATCCACCCATATGGGGCCAACTGTGACTAGATCCTATCTCTGAAAACCACTGTTTGCCTTGCTTGTTTCCCTTACTACACTACTACCATGACGACCTTCATATGAACGAGGTGGTCAGCTACTCTCCAATGAGAAAGGTTTGGAAAGTAAGTTATGATGGAGGTCAGCTGAGAAAGCCTTTCTCACAGCCCGGGGAATGAGAGGCCAGGGGAGGCCAAAGGGCCTCTTTCAAGCAGTGGGTGCATCCATCTGGAGATGTGGGCTGAGAACAGATGAGCAGGTTCCAGAGGAGGAACATGAAATATTGCGGACTGCGTGCCTCTTTTCCAGAATACAATGAGCTTTTCCTTATCCCTTGACCTTTCCTCCAGGGAGTTTGCCCGTTGGAAAGTGAACAACTTGGCTCTGGAAAGGAGAGACTTCTTCAGTTTGCCATTGCCTCTTGCCCCAGAGTTTATCCGGAATATCCGCCTCCTGGGAAGGAGACCCAACTTGCAACAGGTTACCGAAAACCTGATCAAAAAGTACGGCACCCATTTCCTACTTTCTGCCACCCTTGGAGGTAAGCAACACCATGATCCTGCGTGAATTGTTGCCAGGTTGTTGAAAATAGCTTTAAAGCCCGCTGAGTATAGCTTCCATACTAGTAGTCTTCCTGCATCTTTAGTTTTTCCTGGCCTATTATTGCCTGAGAATTGTCTCCTTTCTGGTGCCTTTGAGAACAGTATAGCTTCTTAATATCCAAATTCACTCCAGAACATTGCTGTTACCTTCTCAGCATTCTCCTGAGGAGGAGGATAGGATAAAGAGGTTGGGGGACACACAAACTCCCACCAAGCCCTTGCCAGCAGTGGGCGCTCTCAGTTTCCTTTTGACTGAGCCAACCAATCCTGAAGCTTCTCCACATCCCTACATTTGCTGTGGCTACAGTTGCCAGGCCCATGGGCAAAGAGGGAAATGTCTACTGAATCCCTGCCCCCTGCTTCCTCTTTATATAGACGAGTAACCAGACACACCAATTCTAATAATTCTGAGCTGGATGGAGGCTAGAGGCAGAGTTCTCTCTGTCCTGGCAGAAGAAAACAGGATTTATTATAACATTTAGCCCACTGTCTGACGGACAAAAAAAAGAGCTCTCTGAGGGGTCAGGCCAGCTGCCGCATGTTGTCGGTGTTGAGTGTTTGAGTGGAAAGGGCCCTTTAAACTTCTAGGCTTCTGTCCTTTTGGAGGGAGCATACATATCCATGGCAACTTCTCATAAACAACTTAAGAGGAAGAATTTTCTATCCTCCAAGGAGGTAGATGCCTGAGATAGAGATCAAAAGAGGATGTTAAATGGATGAGCTGGATGGCAAGGGGGAGCTCTGGGGAGACATATGGAACTAAGGAAAGGAAGGAGGGCCTCTCAGGTGTGATGTCTGCTGTCCTATGACACAGTCTGTTGAGATTTTTCTAAATATAAGGGACGGGGAAGAGGCCGTCCACAGAAGTAATGGGCTCCTTCTTAGCTCCGTCTATTCTGGCCAAACATTTCATTCTTAATGGTAGGGGAGGAGGGAACAGAAGGCCCCATCAATGAACCCATGTTGTTTGCTATAGGAGAAGAGTCCCTGACCATTTTTGTGGACAAGCGGAAACTGAGCCGAAAGACAGAAGCAGCAGGAAGTGCCCCTACAGTTGGGGGCAGTGGGAACAGCTCAGCCGTGTCCCTGGAGACCCTGCATCAGCTGGCAGCCTCCTACTTCATCGACAGAGAGAGCACCCTGCGGCGGCTGCACCATATCCAGATAGCCACAGGGGCCATCAAGGTAACGGTCTGAGAGGCACTGGGGAGGCTAGAGTCTTAACCAACTCCAAGTCGGCCAGGCCTGACCGATTGAGGGGGAAGGAAGTTTTCTTATAGAAGCATAGTCAAGCCTAAACATGGTCCAGGTCTTCATTCTGCAGCAGTCATGTAGATCTGCTCTGAAGCTGACTCCAGCCGAGGGACTATGACAAAGGGAGACAAGGTCCCTGCTCCCCCAAGGTTACGTTGTAGTAGGGGATAGAGATTATAAATAATTAAATATCAGCAAAGTAATTTCAGATAATGATGAAATTAGAAGAGTCATAAGGTACAGATTTTTCTGGGGTGAGAGAAGGGAGCAGATAATATTCACCAGATTGGTCAGGGGAGGACACCTTTGGTCTATATATGGAGATCTGAATGAAAAGAAACCAACTGTATGTAGATCTGAGGGAAGAGTGTTCAGGCAGAGGGAACAGTAAGTGCTGAGCCCCTGAGGCAGGAACCAGCTTGGTGCTTTGGTGTGGAACACAGAGAAGAGTACTGTGACTACAGTTAGATGAACAAGAAAGGTGCTGGTACAAGATGAGGTTCAGAAGTAGGTTGGAGCCAAATTATGTGGCCATGATAGAGAACTTCAAATAACAATGGAAGACAACCAGAGAGTTTGGAGCAGAGGAGCAATATGACCATACATGTTTGGAAAAGATCAATATTATTGTAACTTTAGTAACTATAACCTCCATCCCACTATCTCTACTTACATCTAGCAGAGTTCGAGGAAAGTTCATATTGTTTTAGAGAAGAGAAGACTAGTGAGAATACTTGAGAATACTGGATTTTTAGAATTCAAAATATAAAATTAGGGTGGCAAATAAGGGTCAGTCTCATCTTATATCCTGCCTTTATCCTACCCAAAATTCATAAGGAAGTCCTGTTTTATTTATTTATTATTCAATAAATATTTTGAACACCTACTATGTGTCAGTCACTCTACTGGATACTGAGAATCCAAGAGTGAACAAAACATATTAAGTCCATGATCTCATGAAGCATAAATTCTAGTAGTGGAGACATAATTAAATAAATATGTCATGTCAAGTGGGATTATTGATATGAAGAAATGAAACCAGGGAAAAGAGGGTAATGGAGACCTGGTGCTTTAGGGCATATCTGTCTAGAGCAGCGGTTCTCAACCTGTGGGTCGCGACCCCTTTGGTGGTCGAATGACCCTTTCACAGGGGTCGCCTAAGACCATCCTGCATATCAGATATTTACATTATGATTCATAACAGTAGCACATTACAGTTATGAAATAGCAAGGAAAATAATTTTATGGTTGGGTCACATGAGGAACTGTATTTAAAGGGCCTGAAGGTTGGAAAGCACTGGTCTAGAGGAATGTTATTTAAGCAGACATTTGAATGAGGTGATGGAGTAAGCCACATGGGCATCTTGAGAGAGAGCATTCTAGATGGCGGGAAGAGCAAATGCAATTGCCCTAAAGTGGGAGTGTTCTCGGTGGAACACCATATGAGGTGGAGTCAAAGAGGGGGTGAAGTGGGAAATGGCCCAAATGATTGTAGGCACAAGATCATGAGCATTACTTATTAGTGACTATTGCAGTGGTCAAGGTGAGAAATCATGGTAGCTTGCTCAGACATAGCTGGCTATAAATAAGCAGTGAGAAGTTGGCAGATTTAGAATGTATTTTGAAGATAGAACCTACAGGACTACTCATGAATTGGAAGAAAGGAATCCAGATTAACAGCAAGATTTTTGGCCTGAGCAACTGGATGAACAGCGATTCCATTTGCTAAGAAAGGATCACCCTGGGGGAGGTGCAGATCTGAAAGGAGTGAATCAAGAGTTTGGTTTTCAACATATCGAACTTGACATTTCTATTAGACATCCAAGTAGAGATGTTCCAAAAACAGGCTTCCAAGGATGGTGGTCCCTTTTGATTATCCAACATGTTCCTCTGAGAGCAAGGTGGACCCTGATCAGCACACACCTCTACTATTGGGCATGGCACATTACGCTACAGCTGTTCACGTGCCCATCTCTGTCTCCCACACCCATCATGACAAGAGGGCTTAGAATAGTGGGACTGCGGAGGGCACACAGTTCAGGGTCCCTTCACAGTATCTGGCATAGTAAGGCCAATCAAATGCTCAATAGGTGACAGTGGGCTGCATGGTTTAGTGAGAAACAAACTGACTCAAGTGAGATTTGGGATTGGGTTTCAGCCTAGATGCTTCCTATCTTTATGAGCTTGAGGAGTCACTGAGCTCCTTGATATGGAGTTACCAATGATTTGACTTACCTAGACCCAGGCTTATATTCAGTTGCTATGGCTACATACTTACTAAAATATTGAAACACTTCCATCCTGGCTGATAAACGGTTTTCACCACAATGCCTTGTGTGCCACCCTAACTATCTCACCCTCCCCTAGACCCTCCAGATGCTCCCCTCGTAGTAACCAAAGGGCTAATGCACCTCAGGAGGCTTCCAGAACCCTATTTTGGCATACCCTGTCCTTCCTGCCACAAATATTGTGAATATTACCCTTGACTCTCGGCTGGAGTGACACCAAATGATATAGTTCACATGAAAACACTTTGTAAACTATAAAGAGCTGACTACATATCCATCCTGCCCATAAGTGTCAGGACGGGATCAGAGGCATGAAGGAGGGGAGGGGGCCTGTTCCTCAGTTGCAACTCACCCTCTATTTAATCAAAGGCTGAGGAAGGACTTGGTGGGGGGTGGCTCGAGATGCTCCGGAGCCCACACAAAGTTCAGGTGGATCCCGAGATGGCAAAAGGAAGTGCTTCTCACAAAGCATCCCAGGAGGGCTTTGTACAAATTGCTCACAGCAGCAGCCTTCGATTCAGTTTGCAGATCTTTTCGGCACACTTGGCGTTGGCCCTGCTCTCCCAAGCAGCCCCACTGCTCACAATTAGAAGCCCATTTTACTCACTCTCAGCTCGGCAGGTGTCCTATCTGGTAGGACAAGAGCAGCCGGAAGTGAAGGGCAAGGGGAGGAGAGTAGGAAGCTAGAATGGTATATATAAAAAACTGGATGTGCTAATGAACCTGAGATCCATCAGGGCGTTCTGATGGCAGGCTGGTCTCTGTCAACAGACCAATTAAGCACACAATTATTTCCCCTTTCTGAAAGCTTATCTGAGACACTCTGAACGTGTGCGCCTGAGTGAACTGCACTTTCCATTACCTCTGTGGGCCCTCTTTATAATCTGCCCGAGCTGCCTGCCTCTTCTACAGAGAGAGGCACAGGGCTCTCTGGACCAACTCTGCAGACTCTAGGACTCCATCACTGGGGGGAGGGGGCATTAGGCCATCCTGCTTATTAAGTCCATGCTTAGGCATTGTCTGCAAGAGCACCCTCTCCAACGCCCTCTCTCCTCCTCCTCACTTGTCTAGGGAGGACAGAGGTGACTCAGAGCAGAATAGCAGTGGGAAGAGCAGTGACTTTGAGATCTAGTAAAATCATAGTGAGCCTTCCTCCCTCTTGGAGAGCAGGCCTGATCATTCCCTCTAACAAGAAATGAGCTTGGGGATCATGGTCATTGTCACTTCCTCATTCCTATCCTTGTGCCACAATTAATAAAGTGAAGCTACTCACACTCGCTCAATGAATTACCTAGCTGATTGTCCTCTGTGGAAATTACCTTTGTTAATAGCAAAGTGAAGGTCAGAAAGACCATCCGAGGCAGCCCAGAATGCTAACAGGATGGTGGGAAGGCAGATGGATGGGTGGTAGGGAGGAAGGCTTACTGGTGGGACTAAGGACAGGAAGGTGGCTGTTCTAGGTTTTCCTCCTTGGGAGTCATCCTGTTCCTACATAAAGTATGTAGCTCCCTCTCTGCCTAGACCTGATGCTGGTGAATGGACCAGCTCAGCGGTGGGTGGGTAGAAAATCCAGTGCAGAACTATGTGACAGTGTGATGCCAGCTTGCCTGGAGTTGGGGAGGGGTAGGTCTTCCAAATACCACACCCACCATCCTACCCAGCCCTTCAACCCAAGCCATTCCATTGGGGCAGGCTTCTCCAGAACAGGTGAGCTAGTCCTTAGTCATGGCTCTTCTTATAGGGATTCTCATACCACATGGATAAAGAAAATTTCACTTGATATAAGGCAATATTCAGCCTTCCAGTTCAGTTTGGCAACTCACCGCTCGCTCACTCACTCACCCAATGCAGCCCTAGGTGCCCACCTACTGAGGGACACAGGCCCATGTATAACAGCCAGAACTTGGGGATTATGGAAACATGTTTCCACTTGTCTATGCATCCTTGTGGCAGTGATTGGGGCTTACACACTGTGAGTTCTGATTGCTCCTTGAATATTTGTTAAATGAAAAAAATAAATGAATGAATAATTAAGTTGGATGAATCCTAGCCCAGCAGGTGACTAGCTGTGTTACCTTGAATAAGTCATTCAAGCTCACTGGCCTTGGCTTCCTAATTTATAATATAAGGGTCCTCCAATCTCAAGGCTATACAGTTTGTTTTGCCCCAGGTTCACATTTGGAGAAAAAGGCAAATCACTAAAAGATGCTGTTTAAAGTAATTGTTTTTAACATTGATGCCATCTAAAGGGGTTTAACTCTATTTTCTGCAGCCTGTTGACATGCCCTCACAGGAGACACAAGGGCACCAAACTGGAGTCTGGGGACTCAAGGGTTAAAATCCTGTTTGGGCTACTCAACAGTGTGGAACCTTGGGGTCCTCCTTTGAAGAGTGACAGTACTGAGATTTATCTCAGAGAGTTACTGTGAAGGTGGAAAAGAATGATATTGGAAGATGAATGGAAAACTGTTGTTCCTATCTTGTCTGGTCTTGTGTCCCATTCATGTACTGTGTCTATCCTTGCCCCTTGGTCTTTGGACCAACTCTGCAGACTCTGGGACTGAGGTATCTCCTTTTCTCTCAGTTCCCTCCCCATTCCATCCCACCCCTACTTATCCTTCAAGACCAATGTCTGGCTCTGGCTCACCTTCTCCATAAAGCCTTCCTTGACTACTTTAAGTTACAAATATCTCTCCTGTCTCTCACCCCACTGTATTTCAAGTCATTATCATACCTCTCACTTG